CCGTTCGTCTTTCTGTCTGTCTGTAACGCTTTCGTTTCCACACGATATCTCGAGAACACTTTGAGCTTTTGCAATGAAATTTAGCATAGCAACTCCCTACGGAGTAGAAAAGAACTCTATTGATTTTGAGGTCAAAAGATCAAAGGTCAAGGTCATAAATAAGCAAATTCTGTCTGTTATAACACTTTCGTTTCCACACGATATCTCTAGAACCATTTGAGCTATTGCAATGAAATTTTACATAACAACTCCCTGTGGCCTAAGGAAGATCCCTATATATTGATTTTGAGGTCAAACGGTCAAAGTTCAAGGTCGTAAATTTATACATTCTGTCTGCGTGTAACACTTTCATTTCCGGGCGATATTTCAAGAAGATTTTGAGCGTATGCAATGTAATTTTATACCACAACTCCCTAGGACCTCTCTCACCCCTCTCAAAGTGCCCGCCCCGTTTGTTTTATTAGTATTTATAGAATTACATGTCGCTATTTTTTAGCACAGATGCATACAGAAAGTTATTGCGTATAAATCAGGTTCTTGGCGGACTTTATGTTCTTATTACATCTATTTGAACTGTTTAATAAAGGCTAAATAAATCAAACACCATGGATTGTGTAAAATTTTCACAATACCGAACATGAATATATACATGTATGTGACTTCACTTTTGCATATACTTGAATTCATTTAAAGCGATTCCGTGGTCTAGTGGTATGTCTCCCGCTTCACATGTGAGGGGTCCCGGGATCGAATCTCGGACGACCCCTCCCCATTTTTTTTAACTTTTCTCTTTTTTAAATGATAGTATTCAGCATGTGAAAAGAAAATTTTATGAGGTTATAAAATCATCACTACAGTCTGATAAATATTCCATATAAGAAGAATCTTCTATACACATAATAAAGATTAAGCAATCAAATCTTTATACGCATACTGACATACATGTATTTTATTTGCTTCAGTATACATGTATACATTTAATAATTCTACAAATTCAGTCAGGGGGTCCGACTTTTTCCCTAAGCGGGGGACACGAATTCTCTGAATTAGCTTGTTTATACACTAAATTGACGACGGATTTTTCCGTGATTTCCCGATCATGACAAGGAGCACACGGCGGGTGTGACCGGTCAGCAGGGGATGCTCACTCCTCTATGGCACCTGATCCCACCTTTGATGTCACGTGTTTGCTCCGCTTCTATTTTGTACTGTTTATGAACTTTGATATTGAATACTGTTCGTTATTTCAATATCCTTCCCTTCATGTATAGGGTTCGCAGTTTCTTTGAACATAATTTAAAACGTTGAACAGTGGCTCATATTATAAATATTGATAAATACCAAATAAATACAACTTTGCTTTGAAAAAAAATTAAATGAAAAGTTTGGATCTTTAACATTAAATACGAGAAATTGTTTTCTTGTCTGGGTCTTTTAAAATTAATATGAGTTTTAGTTTTTCAATCTTAGTTTGTTGCAATTTTCAAAACTTGTTTTTCACAAATTTAATTTATTGAATATGCGTCAATAATTTATGAGGTCACTGAAAAATTAAATCGAACATTTATGACGTGAGCAACGTCATACCATATACAGATATTGATACGCGTTGCTTAAATGCTTAAATCTTAAATTTACGTCAGCAGCTGGTATAAAAATCAACATATGATCTGTCCATTTTCAAATCATTCCTATTTCTTTTTTCATTGATTTTGTTATTCAGTATATAGTTTCAAACTAAGATTCCTCTGTTTTAATATTAATAATCATTTGTAAAATAAAAGAATAAAAATAATTCAATTCGCATGTTACATTATTAATTCCTTCAATGCACAACTGATTTTGGGGGGACATTTGACACCAAACGTGTGAAATATTGGAGGCGAATCCCTTTTCATTTCAAGAAGCGTCATTAATTTGAATTCCCTTCAAATCACTTATACCTTGTTCCATGTGGCTAAACTTGAATGCTTAATCGTTTTTTAAACAAAGATTTATCATTGTTGTTTACCGATTTCGAATTCTGCTTCTCTTTTTCTGTTCCCTATCAAACACATAAAAAAACATAGGCAACTTATGGATAAAATTTACTTACAGGGATCGATTGTATGTCCCCTATTCTTGTTCTAGTACAAGAGTTAATGTTCAAACCGTCGTGTTCTGCATAGTTCAACACTATCTGACTTTCTGTATCGAGTTGTATTAAGAACAAGAAAAATTTATTTTAAAAAATTCCAATTTATGAAGTGTAACAGCAAGACATCGTGTGTTTTATCTACTTTTAAAAAACATTAGATAAGAGAGCTGACATCCTGTCGTTGCAAGTCCTATCGGTACTTGGTCACAATCCGTTTGACACTTTAATTAGACAAAGTACAAAGAGTTTCTGCATCACAATTCTTGACTTGGAAATCAATTAGAAGACAGTTTCTGTTGTAGTTAGGGATGCTTATGAAAAATTACTTCATTTAAAATATTAAATATATTAAAGTATTTCTAAAGTTTTCTTTCAAATTCTAATATATGAAGGATAAGATATTAAAGGTTTTGTGAGTGTTTGCGTCATTTATTCACCGGTCGGACAGTGTTTTTTCCTGATATTTTCATGAGTTTGTGCACAAATAAAAATAACAACAAAAATCTCCTCACGAGTATAAACGACTAACAGGAATTGCAGACTGAGTTATTGTTACTTGAAAAATCTCCGAAGTTAAAAAAAGTCAAAGTTAAAACGTCGCCCTTGCAGATTTTTTAGGGGGAGAACTACACAATTACGGTTCATCTCTCTCTCTATCCCTCTCTCAGTTTGACTAACTAGCTAGGGTACCTCATGACTTCCAAATAATCTTCAAGTGTTCCTTTGCGCCAATGATATGATGGATAAAGTAAACTTTACCTCTTACTTAAAGAAGATAATCAGCAGATAACAATCCTACTTCCGGTCAAATTCTGCATATATTTAATATTTCTTTTAGATATTCCCACTAGGATAGCATCCCTTTGTCATACAAGTACGGCAACATATAGTTTAATTCAAACATATTTTCAAGAACTTTTACAAAAGGTACGAAATTAATTACTTTAAGTCTTTATCTCAAAAAATAATCTTTTAATTTTTATGCGTGAATTATTATACATAAAATAAAATTAGATTTAATTCACGATGCTTAATTATGTTCATATTATTGTTTTTGGTTTAATATCAGTAATTTGCATGCAATCCATTAATATTATGCTTGCGAAAAAAATCATATTTTTAATTCTTCATTTCAATAGTTTATTCTTTCCAATTTACATCAATAAAATGAAGAAAGCGTCTCCAAAAATTTTGCTGTAACCGTTAAAAGAATTAGTAAAACCTTCATAAAATTCCTTTAAAAATTCATATTGCTAAAAATTTTACATCAATGATCAAAATTAAAAAAAAAATCTAAAACATTTAACAAAAAAGACAGTGAGGAATGATAAAACAATATAGTGAGTCTGATGTATTATTTCTGTTATACATTTATGTAGTATTAAGTATATTTGTAAAGAATCAAAAGCTAAGCTTTGAAAACAAGGAATACCAATTCCAAGTCTTTATGTATATGATATATACATTCATTGTCATTTCAAAAAATGATAATGTATTTTTAAAATTTTGATAGGCTCTTAAAGGTAAAAACTGGCGTTCTGTTGCATAGAATTTTTAAAATTTATTATAAGTCTTTAAGACGATCAAATTAGATTAGAAAATAGTTTTTCAGCTAGCTTTAATAATAAATCACAAATTTCCAATATGAACAATTGTTTTCATTGGTTAATTACATGACGTCACACATAGGGAGTGATTATGCAAGTAACGAGATTTTATCCTTAGCTCGGAAATTGATCAGACTCAGAACATTTTTGAGCAGAATTTTCCTTATTAAAATTGTCTTGTTTTCCACATTGTTTTGGTTTTGCTAACTTAAAATATATTCTTTTTTCTAAAATTCTTTTTCTTTCTTTTTTAGTTATGATATAGTTGAAGGCTTTTAATCTCCTCATTCAAAAGTTTTTATTTTATTTCAAAATTTCCTTTTTTTCTAATTATACAGTGCACAAATAGAAGGACACATGCTTTGGAATGGAGTGGTTTTTTTTTAAATCTTGAAAACTGTACAGAAATCACTCATGCAAGAGAAAAAAATAACTAACATTAAAAATGGAAGTTCCAATTATTAGGGGGATCAATCAGAAAAAGAATTCAAAACATGAAAAAACGTCGCCATATTTAGTATACATATACATGTATCTTCAGTTGACCCCCTCTTAAACATAAAAAAAATCCAAACATTTTTATTGCTTAGATGAAGCATGCTTTATATTTTTAGATTTTAAGTAAGTTTCCAGCGATCGTAAACTAAAATGGCTTTGTGTGGAGAGGTCTCTAAATTCTGCATCATTGGATCCGTTCTTCAAACACTTGCATTGATTTTTCATATCGTAGGATTTGCGTCCCCTTACTGGATTTATGGTAAAAAAAAGTCAAGGTCCAATAAGCGCTCAGTTTAATGCAGGGTTGTGGAAAAGTTGCACTACCACAACCATCAGTGGTGCTGGTCAGGATCTCACAACATGCGCTGACAACATTAGTAATGGACTAGGTAAACAAAACATTTTAAGTGCACTTATATGGTATATAATAATGGAATTAGTTGCATTTTGCTCTGTGTTTTTTTTTTAGATTGGATGAAGGCAGTACAAGCTTTTGCTTGCCTAGGATTGATCTCCCTTCTGATTGCTGTTGTTGCATTGGCAGTTAAACGTTGCATGGACAAGGCATCGCTTCTTTACTTGTCTGCTGGGTTAACATTTGCGGGAGGTAACTTTTTGAACAATTTCATAATTTTTTAAACACATTTCATAAACAATGATAGGAAAATCTCGAAAATATACTCAATTTACAAATAGAAACTACACTTTGAGAGGGAATTACACTTTTTTTCTAATTCTTGTAAATTTCTTACTTTCAGCGGTTTGCATTTTGATATCCATTGCTGTCTACGCCGCAAAGGTTACCGACCTCGGTTCAAGCGGACATTTTCATTTTGCCTTTGCTTTTTGTATCATTGCAATGGTTCTTGCAATACCTTCTGGGATTTTAATAATTGTCGAAGGCTCAAAATAATACCAAATACAATAAATAATAGCTTAGAAATTAATATCAGTTATTTTTTATCTTAAAAGCATAAAGTTGATAATATGTAAATATTGGACGTAGTTGAGTGTAACATTGAAAATGTTCGCCCAAAGAAAACCATTGTCAACAGAGATGCAACCGAGGTTGACAATGGTCTTCGAAAATGTTGACACACGAAGGAATATGAGTATTTCTTTTTTATTTAAAAAAAATATCAAAAAAGGGGATATATTTAATCAGAATAGATTCTTCGATCCACATATCAAAGGCGATGACAAATTAAGAAAATTAACGGTGTACTAAGTTGAAATTTTCTAACTTGTTTGTGATTTAAATATTTGTTTCAAGAAAAATAAACAATAAAACATTAAATACGTTTCCTACACATCAGCTTTTCTGGTACATTTTGAAGCAGACAAGGGCATTAAAACCAAATGCTGAATGTCTTTCATGCTAAAAAAAATTATAAGGATGGTTAACATTACCGGTGGGTAACAGTGAAACAAAAAGAAAAAAAAGCAGGGGATGCTCACATCTCCATGCAAACTCATGCTATGTTGCAACCACTATTGAAATAACAACCACTATTGAAATAATAGTATTAATAGTGTGCCAAGTCATATTAAAATCAGACCAAATCTGTAGGAGTAGGAGCGTTTTAAAGGAATTTCACAGAAAATTCTATTTTTAGTAACCATGGCAACACGTTTCATCGAAATCAAAAACCGATGCACTATTTTATATATCTTAGTGTAGTCTACTTGTGTGCCAAGTTATATTGAAATCAGATCAAAATTGTAGGAGGAGTAGCGTTTTAAATGAATTTCACAGAAAATTCTTTTTTTAGTAACTATGGCAACATTGTTCATCGAAATCAAAAACCAATGCACCATTTTATATATCTTAGTGTAATCTACTTGTGTGCCAAGTTATATTAAAATCAGACCAAATGTGTAGGAGAAGTAGTGTTTTAAAGGAATTTCACAGAAAATTTTATTTTTAGTAACCATGGCAACACGTTTCATCGAAATCAAAAACCGATGCACTATTTTATGTATCTTAGTGTAGTCTACTTGTGTGCGAAGTTATATTGATATCAGATCAAAATTGTAGGAGGAGTAGCGTTTTAAATGAATTTCACAGAAAATTCTTTTTTTAGTAACTATGGCAACATTGTTCATCGAAATCAAAAACCGATGCACCATTTTATATATCTTAGTGTAATCTACTTGTGTGCCAAGTTATATTGAAATTAGATCAAAATTGTAGGAGGAGTAGCGTTTTAAAGGAATTTCACAAAAAATTCTATTTTTAGTAACCATGGCAACACTATTCATCGAAATCAAAATCCGATGCACTATTTTATGTATCTTAGTGTAGTCTACATGTGTGCCACGTTATATTAAAATCAGACCAACACTGTAGGAGGAGTAGCGTTTTGAAAAATTGTTTACAGACAGACGGACAGACAGACAGACAGACGGACGGACGACGGACACCTTACTATCGCATAAGCTCTTCTGGTCTCTGACCAGTAAAGCTAAAAACAACGGCAGGTCTTTATTCTACACACTTGATACAGCCATTATCTTTGATATATGAAAGTCCAGACTTTAAAACATCAAAGACAGCTGTCTTTTGCAATAAAAGTAAAATTTTATTTTTATATTTATACTTTCCTTGACATGTCCAAAATGATTTTATTAAATATCATTCTGAGTCTATTCACAGGTACTCCAACGTTAATAGAAAAGCATGCTATATGTTCTTATTAACAGTTGCTTACAATCTTTCGAAATTCGCTTCCCCCTACAAGCAGGAATATTTTTCTATTCCTATATATGCATTTTTTTTCTCAAAAACTTATACATGAAAACCTTGACTAAAACCTTGTCAGCATATACAAGATATAAATAAGAGGATAACTGACTGGAATGTGTCATACAAATTGTGTGTAGATAATTTTTTACGGACTTTTACGACAATCATGACAAGGGGCACACGGTAGATTTGAAAGGTAGATTGCTTTCCCCTCTATGGCACTTGATCCCACCTCTGATGTTTCATATTTTGGTAACATTTTACCGTTAAACTATACTTCATAATGAAAAAGTTTTTGGGAGAGGGAGAGGGGGTTTAAATCCCCTCCTCAACTGGTAAAAATTGTACATGTACCAAATGAGGGTTGCTTTCTTGCCCAGTAAATGCTAATTACAATTAATTTTGAACACAGGAATTGTAGAACATCATCTGTATTGTTTTACATCAATTTAATCATACATATACCTCGTGTTTTTGAAAAAATGAAATCTAGTTTATGCGGAAAAACAACTTTCTAAAAAAAATAAAAAGGTGAAGTTTGCTTCGTCTCTCCAAATATATATAGTTAAGTAGCTACATGCAAATTACCAATTTTATTCGAACAAGAGGCCCAGGGGCCACATCGCTCACCTGAGCAATTGGCTAGGAAAGAGTACATTTAAGATCAGAACTGAAAATTTAATAAGGGGGGGGGCTTAATTTTTAATCCCCCAGGGGGTCATATTTTGAATAAAACTGAATCTACACTACCTGAGAATGATTCCCTATAAATATCACTAAGCTTAGCTTTGAAGTACTTGAAAAGAAGATTTTAAAATGTTTCCCTATATATTCCTATGTAAAACTTTTATCGGCCATTTGGCCCCACCCTTCCCCGGGGGGTCATGATTTGAACAAACTTGAATCTACACTACCTGGGGATGATTCCACATGAGTTTCATCTTTCCTGGCCCAGTGGTTCTTGAGAAGAAGATTTTTTCCTATACATTCCTATTTAAAACTTTGATTGGCCATTTGGCCCCATCCTTGCCCCTGGGGTCATGATTTGAACAAATTTGAATCTACACTACCTGAGGATAATTCCACATGAGTTTTATCTTTCCTGGCCTAGTGGTTCTTGAGAAGGAGATTTTTAAAGATTTTTCCTCAATATTCAAACTTTGATCGACCATTTTGGCCCCAACTACTCCCGGGGGTCATGATTTGAACAAACTTGAATCTACACTACCTGAGGATAATTCCACATTAGTTTCATCGTTCCTGGCCCAGTGGTTCTTGAGAAGAAGATTTTTAAAGATTTTTAAAGATTTTTCCTATAAATTCCAATGTAAAACTTAGATCGGCCATTTTTGCCCCATCCTACCCCCAGGGGCCTTGATTTGAACAAACTACAAACTTGAATCTACACTAACTGAGAATGATTCCACATGAGTTTAATCTTTCCTGGCCCAGTGGTTCTTGAGAAGAAGATTTTTTTTAAAACGCCATTAATTGTTCTCATTCATAGTTATCTCCCCTTGGAATAGGGCGTGACCCTTCATTTGAACAAACCTGAATCCCTTTCACCTAAGGATACTTTATGGCAAGTTTGGTTGAAATTGGCCCAGTGGTTCTTGAGAAGAAGATGAAAATATGAAAAGATTGCAACAACAACGACGACGACAACAACGACAACGACAGACAACGGACAAATTGTGATCAGAAAAGCTCACTTGAGCCTTTGGCTCAGGTGAGCTAAAAATTTAATTAAGAATAATTGAAAGGAAAATTTTGGTCAATATGAACATGTAATTGTCATTTACAAAACAATTTCTATTTCTCATGCAGAATTTTTACATGATGCTTTGTTTAAGTATCTAATTGTTTCTAAGGGACCGTGGAAGACAATTGGGCAAGACATGGGACTAGAGAAGAGTCTATCAGAAAATCAGTTGAAAACCCTGTGCATCAACATGAAATTCATGTCGATAGGTGAAGCCTGCATGTTTTAACAGACATGTGCTGTTTAACAAGTATTTTATCAGCTAATAATTTGTGAATATTGATATTTTAAGTCTGACATATTTGAACAATTCTTAGCGGACCTTTGAAGCGGGAGATATGACTAGACAGGTTTTAAAGGCATGCAAACACTGATACTGATTTATTTGATTAAACGCCTATTTTTTTTACATAAACATCAACTATATATTACACATAATATATAGAAATATACATGGAAAGTAAGTATTAATATAAAGCAACAAAGTTATGCAAAGATGGTTCGCTACAATTTGGTCCAATGGTACTTAAACTCCTGAAAGTTTTTCTTTTATTTGATTGGAATGTGTAAAAGTTTTTGGGAGTGCAATTTGTATTTGCTAAATGTTTTGACAAACATTCAATTAAATAGGCTGGTGCTTGGCACACTGAAGATTAATACGTAAATGTCAGAATTTTAAATGATTTCTAATATTGATCAGTAGCCAATGGAGATCAAGAGACCTTTTCTCGAAACGTCAATTATCCTCTGATTTACAACCAAATTGGCAAACATATTCTGAATAAGTTGCATTTTGCTTATATTGCATTGTGCTGTACTAAAATACATGTAATATGTGTGGCGTGTGGACGTGTACCATGAAGTAAACATATTGTTTTCATGATAAAATTTTAGTCTAACTCTTTAAATTTATTAATCATAAAGCTTTCAGTTTTTAAAAAATAATTCTTCATCAATATCAGTTATTAATAATAAAATCTAAATATAGAAACTCTAATTTACATTATTTCGTTTTTCGTTTATAATGTAAGCGAATTTTCTTCATATTTAATGTTAGGTCATCATTTACACGCAACATTTTTGTTGATTTCAAGGAGCACTGGGCGCCTCTTATGTGTTTTGATGTCTGCGTTTGCTCTCCTCTGAGTTGGATTGCTTTTAAAAATGTACTTTGAGCTTGAATACTTTTCGTTATCCTCATATATTGCATCATTAGTATTTGCATAAATCTTGTTTATAATCTTTATAATCTAAATACTATTTTAGAACAAGAACATTTATATGTAGTGGTAGCTAGTACATTAAAAATAAAGAAATTCTGTTCTTAAAAAACAATCTTATATTATCATTCAAAGAAGGGAGATCACTGCATCCTAGCAGCAAAGTGTTTCCATAAGTGCTTTTGACAGTTAATACTTAAAATCCATTATTTTATATACATTATTTATACATTGTACTAGCTATACATTTACACCTGTGTTTGGAGACCTACTGGTAGCTGTATATAAAACCTTTATAAAAAGTGTGCTTTACTTGAATGACACCAATTTCTGATTAAAGTCTTCGAAAACAGTTTGGTTTTATGAATACATGCTTTCACCTCTCTAGCCTAGAATTAATGATTATCTGCCTACAGATCTTCTGGTTGCACAGGGAATTGAAAGGTTACAAGTATTGATGTATTATAAAGCTACACCATCAACGTCTTTCAAAATATTTGAAGCACTCAATAATACTATTAAACAATTGATAAAATGAACATTTTTATTAATCTATTTACATTCCATCGTGCTTTCTCTTTTGAAAATCAAAGAGGACTAAAACAAATTCTAAAAGAAATGTTGAACGACAAACAAATATCTGGCTGTTATCTTCTTGACAAAATAAGGATTTATGATGAAAATATATAAAACATCTGGCAGTAGATGTGAGAAAGTGGAATAAATGATAGTAAAAAAAAAACTACATTAAAATCACAGCCATTTGGATTAACAAAAGGAAAAAGAAGAAAGAAAAAAGAAACGACAAATTCACTATCTTAACCTTTCAGGAATTCAAATCCCTGTTTTAGAATGACTAACCCATGATCAATTTTATTTCAATAGTATATTGTTAGAATTCAAATCAGAATCGGTTGTTGTTATTACTTTTAAAATTAGAGTTTCCATGCGCATTTGTACACAAAAAAGTTTTAAAATGTGCAAATACTTCAATTTCAATACCACGGTATAATTTCACGTTCAAATTAATTTGATCTTTTGTCTTGTAGTTCCCAATGTGAAGAGGTGGAACTATTTGTTTGATGTATATCAATTAACAGTTTTGACTGTCACAAGAATGAAAAAAAGCGAAAAAAGGAAACATTTTTGCAATACTATAAATATTATTAATTATCTTAAAATGTAGTTTACATTGTATGCCAAGCCCCGAGTAGGGTATTTGTTCTGACGAGATATTTCAGGAATACCATATCATAATATTTTTGCAGCATTAACAATACAACATGTATATATTGGTATTTGCCTGTATTATTTCCACGCATGTTTCAAATACATTTATCAAAGGTTTTTCTTGATTATTTTTTTAACAATAAATGTGATTTGTCATTGATTATAATCCATTCGAGCAAATTTATTTTACAAAATATATTCACTATATTTTTTTGTCACAAAATGCAGCTGCTTAGGTTTTTTATGAAATGTGGTAAAAATAGTGATTATGCACAGAAATCATGTATACAGGGTATTTTCGCCCTTTTACACTAGTCTAACAAACAATTTTGTCGTGTCTTTAATTTGCCCTGCCACAGTTCTGTATAAAACATTTTATTGTCTTCTTTGAATGCGCCCCGTACAAAATTCGCCCGAGTGAACAGCAAAAGGGGGCTCAAATAAAACGGGGCGAAAATTTCCATATACATTAACAAAGAGTAACCAAATCAAATACGAATCCCTAAATATAGAATCAAGAGTTTTCCCTCATTAATCTTTTCTTTATAACTTTCACCTGATAAGACCGGGGCATTTTATTTTTTAAAAATGCAACTTCTTATCATCTTTTAGCTTTCGAATTATTAATTCCTGTAGTAAATGACTGTGTTTCTAACTGGTTAAGTCATTTCTATTGATCATTTTGTTGTTCGCAGCACTTGAGTGATAACATTCCGTCAACAAGTTTATCACCTTGCAGCAGAGATATAAACGTACGCCAAATTGAGCAGTCTGTCGACCCCGCCTCTTCTACACACAGAACAATCTGGGCTATTTGTAAAAGAACAACTTATTATTGTTGAAGGATTCTTCAAATTAAATTCGGAAGGTAAATGTTGGTTATATTTTAAATCTACTATAGATTTCTTTGTCTTATATCTATATGACAAGAAAAGAGGATTATAGAGTTCCTTCATACGTAAAATAACGTGTTTTTATCAAATAAGGCATGTTTTTTTATATGTTGCAAGTTAAAAGATATATTTCCTGAAAAAAGCTTTATGTGAACATCTTTATCTAAAATCAATGTAATAATAAAAGAAAAAAATATCATTCATTCTGGATCTTTCATATAGCGAGGTATATAATATAAGCGTTTTTGTAGCTTTATGTATAAGATACCTTTAGATAATCTCGAAAATGAAAAAAAAATTAGCTCGAAGCGCATGCTTACACATGCATTGCAAATTAGTTTCATATGAAGTGGAATGCTTTCCCCTTACAACATCCTGTACCGTAATAATTCTTAATTTTCTTCTCGATTTACCAGATAAAATGTATATGAACTATTCACTTTAGTTTACAGATTCTATATTTTTATTTTTTCCTTTAAAATTCGTATTTATTCTTCATAGACAAAGAAAGTTTGTTGACATGACCCATTATTTACATTATATGATTACGATGTCAATCTTTTTGATATCGCTTATCTTTCAGGCGTGGGTCAGTGGAATTCCAAATTCTTGGATAACTTTAAAAGGATATTATAATCATGGTATTTAAAACCCATCCCCCACAACGCTAAAACTTCTCTTTCGTTTACACGTATCTTTGAAAGTGGGACGCCAAATTGCAAATTGAAAAAAGGAATATCAGAAATACAAACACATAAAATGGGGATTTGAATGAATATTAATTTCCGGGGGGAAAAGTAAATTGAGATGCAGACAGTTCCAGATCGTTTATTCGAGAGACCAAAAGCTTTCATCATAACACAAACTAAAATTTGATGCATGTGTTGATATATATTTTTTAACTGATTTTGAATAGAAATGACATAAATTATCAATTTCTTAAAAATAAATTGTAGGTTATCTTCGGTGCTTAGATATTTGATTTAATTTGTATTTTTTCCTTTATAATTCTATACAAAATTTTGCACATATTTTTGACACTGTGACAAAATCTCACCAAATCCTCACACTTTACCTGGAAAATATAATTCATGTTACCTATTTAATATTAATTTATGAGAAATATTGCTGATTTCTGAAAAAAAGGTATTTGTCTTATTTGTCCTTAAACGTACTGTTAAACCTTACACCTTTACAATTGTTAGAATTATCCACCTTTTCTATAACTGCAAGCACAAATGCCTCTTTAGTCGTGTTGCACGGAGATTTGAGAAGATTTTAATTTTCTTCAATTTCTCCTTTCCATATATTCAGAAGAAGCTTTTCATGCATGTATAACAAGAATATGGATAAAGGCTGATAAAATTCCACTCAAGACAAATACTACTTTTTTGTAAAAATGTGTTACACTCCTGTAAATTATAGTTTTAAAGATTAATCTTGATCGATATCACCACTGAAAGGAATCTAAAACCAAAATTGCATTCACATTTGTTAAACCTTAAGCAGACTTATAGAGTCCAGATGAAAGATACTGAAATTTTTTGAAAGAATATGAATAAAGGTGATTTTTTTGTTCACAGGACTTTTAACAGAGATCATGGAGATAAAGGCTATGCTGATCGGCTTCATCTTGGCAATTATTGCTTTCGTATTCCATCTAATCGGGTTTGCTTCACCCTTCTGGGTTAATGCAGATATCCTTTCACATTCCATACACTATGGTCTTTGGAAAGTTTGTGGTGTATTAACTAGTGGCTGTTTGGATATTACAAATCCACCAGGTAGAGACAAAACTTGTTTTATGGGTTTATGAAGTCATTTGTTGATCGATGCAAATAAGCATTAAAAATACCAGGGTTTTTATACAATTTAAAAGAACAGATGGCAGATACCGAAAGAACTATAGTTTTTTTGTTTTTTATTCAAAATTTACTTATTGAATAAAAAATGAGAAAATTTAAACGTAATCTCTCTCTCTCGCTCAAACACAAATTTAAGCAAACCAAAGAGACAAATTCAGTCGCTTTTCTGACAATTAAGTGAAACCTTTCCGTGCTTTTCCTTTTTTTTCTTATTTTTAACATTAAGACTATTTGAAATTATAATTTGTGTTTCAGATTGGCTCAAAGCCTCACAAGCGTTTGCCATCCTTGCCTTTATTTGCTTTCTAGCCGCTGTTGTGTGCTCTGCTCTGAAACTGTTTGTTCTAAAAGACAAAAAGATAATCTTATTTGCTACTATAGGCGCAGTGTTTGTGGGAGGTAAATCATTTACTGTCAAATATAATTCCAAAAGGTATAGTTCCATCGTTTACATGTAAAAAAAATATATTGCTATTTTATTCATCTTTTTTTTAAATTTTTTTTTTTCAAAATTGTGTAAGTATTCAACAACACCCGTAAAACAGGAAATTTTGATCTTAATTGATTCAGTCTCTTTTTATTTTTTACAGCGTTCTGTGTCCTTCTCTCAATTGCTATATACGCTGGAAAGAAGGATAATTTAACTGGTGGATCCAGTCTTTTCAACTTTCACTTTGCCTTTGCGTTTTGCATTATTGGCATGCTGGTAGCTATAGCCTCAGGAATATGTTTTATTCTGGAATTGAAGAATTCATAAACAGTTGCTGTCAGTGTTATCTTATAACAATTGTAGAATTTTGAATTAGGATTTGAAATTGGTCTGCCGTTTTCCTTTTTGACTGCTTCGTATTTTGTATTGTACGAGTGTTTGAACCTTTTAGGAAAAATACATGAAACAGAACAGGGATATCAAGAATTGTAAGAATCTACAATCTATCTGTACATCAATAATTAACAAAAGAAATATAAGTTTTTACATAAAATATTTCAGCATTTCAATTCATTTGTTTCCCTTTATAATGACATGCATTTTTACCTTGTAACATTTGGGAAAATAAAAAAAATATATAGCTCTTCATGCTTTCTTTTTTTTTCATTTATGAAGGTATGAATTCGTCATGAGAAACTTTAATATTTCAGCATTTCAATTCATTTGTTTCCCTTTATAATGACATGCATTTTTACCTTGTAACATTTGGGAAAATAAAGAAATATAGCTCCTCATGCTTTCTTTTTTTTTTAATTTATGAAGGTATGAATTCGTCATGAGAAACTTTAATATTTCTGCATTTCAATTCAAATGTTTCCCTTTATAATGACATGCATTTTTACCTTGTAACATTTGGGAAAATAAAAAAATACAGCTCTTCATGCTTTCTTTTTTTTTTTTATTTATGAAGGTATGAATTCGTCATGAGAAACTTTTCTATGAATGTGTTTCTATGTTGTTAGTTCAATATTTCAAGGGAACAAGTCAGAATTTTTTTCAACGGATGAAACATCATTGTATGTGAGGGGTCATTGATGTATGTAGATTTATGTAAGTCACACAATGATATTACTTGCTACTTCGCTAATTAAGATAATTTTCAGTATAATATATAAATAAAAACAGTTGTTACTAACTGTTTTGTTCGATATTGTTTGATTGTTTGTTTTTCAGCCACTGGGGTGTTTCGAGTCGGAAAATGAATAATGTTAATAAAAATAAATATTGTTATCGGACAAAACGTCTTGAAATATCAAACGTTATCAAATATTGATAAAATGTTGAAAAGATAAAGGCATTTGCAAAAATATAACGTTAAAAAAAATCAAGTTGCTCAAGATTATAACAAAAGATTAGATATCAATTATAATGAATTATTATAAATAAACATTTATTATAATGAATAAACATGAACAATACTTTGAATGCGTGCAGGTTTGCTCCCGGCCTTGTCACATCATTCATCAAGCAATTATTATATTTAAAGGAAATCCATTTAATCAATGTTTTGTAATGTCATGATGATGATTATTTGAAATTCATTACTTGTCAGGGAGAGTTTCCTATAGGATTGATCCCACTATACACCATATAATTGAAACTTGGGATTGCTTCGTAGAATGTAGGACACACCTACTTAACGCAGAACCTACGTCGTAGCCACCTTTCATTTGCAAAATTTTGACTTTTAGCAAGTGGACATATCCAAGACTGTCTCATGTAATGAAATTAGACAACTTCTTTGGAAAATGTGAATGGCATACATCTATTTTGAGGGAATGCAAAAACCTAAAAAAAATCTCAGTTGCCCACTAATAGTACAATATTTTGATGAAATGTTGTGTCTGAGTCAAAGATATGTTGAAACATCTCTGTGTGTAAATTTCGTGATGTCTCTCAAGAAATGATGTGCATTCCTTTTCATAATTAATTCAATGTTAATTATTCATGCATATTTTTAATGATTGGACAATTTTCTATCAAATATGATCTTTTTAAATACTTTTTTGATGAATATTCACGAATCTGAAAGTACCCCGTCGTTAAATTGTTAAAATTAATCCTTTTGAAAAACAAAGAAACAAACTGTCTGATTTGTTAGCATATGTACTTCGTAAAACTGCTACTCTGAGTAATTCCAATCAAAACAAAAAAAATTCGTGTAAATTTTTTTTTTAAGGACAGAAATCACTTAAAAATGCTGATATCACTTGGTCTATTAAGGATATTAATAAGACTCACTTTTTTTTTTTACTTTCGTCACTTGAACTCCACTACAACTCTCAACCTATGTTCATCAGTACTCTCTTAGATGGACATCTTTGAAACTCTTTAAACCTGAATCACACGCTGGATCAATTCTTAGACAGTACTTCTGGGTGGTCTTTGAAGATTGACATACAGTATTAATACAAACGCGTACGATGATACTGTACAAATGTATGGAATAATAATTTCAACAAAAATAAATAATGCTATTATGTATACTCATGAATATCTTTTGAATTTCATGCTTTTGATTTGAAATATTACAATGAAATAAATGGAGATAACAAACAGTTTTCAAGCTCAAAAGTCCATTAAATGCTATAAAACAGGAGCAGAGCAAACATGGATCTCTAAAGTATCAGAGGTCAGACCAGCTGCAATGGAGCAGTAACATCCCATGAAGACTGGCTATCCCGCCATGTCCTCCTTGAAATTATCGGCAAATAACAGGAAAATCTTTCGACAATTCAGCGTGTATTTATAATGGCCTAACAATAAGTATGAAAAACGTCAATCGGCATTTAACTTAATGATCGATTGTTTTCGCTGACAATATCATTGCATTGACAATTGAACTTGCAAAATAATGACTTTAAACGAAACTGCTTATATTCTTGTTTCATCAACATGTTTATCAATAACTTACCTCGTTTTACAAAATGTTCATACAAAGTACATATTTTTGAGTATCGAATCAACCGAAAGATGTAAGCCCCGTGTGCAAGTGATAAAGATATATTGCTGCATAAGTAAGGGAAGTTGATGTAATGATATTTATCATGGAACTGTATTGTTTAATTACCACTAAAGTCTATCTAAATATGAAAGATATGCGTTGTGGTATCTGTTGATTCAAGCTCGGGATAACATATCGACATAAGAATGGGGAAAAAAACATTGTCAGTTGCTAATTGACAAGGCGTCGTCGAAATATCTAAATGTCGAGTTGAAAGTGCTTTCTTCTTTTCACATATAAGCTTTTGAACAAATTTTGTTTCATATGAATACAAACATCGGTTTCAATTGCTTAGTGTATGTTTATTTTTAAAAAATCATTTGAATAACTAACAGAAAAATACTTTTTTTTCTTGAAAAAATCTCGGATATACTGGCCATCAATTTCAAAAAATTGGAAGTGGCTTTTACGCTCATTATAAGTATATAAATACCGTTCTTCAATCACTGCTAAATACTCAAAAGCAGAATAAAACATTCCAGGAAATTGTGCATTTTTCCTGAATGCTCAATAAACCACAACCTCAACTATGCACTTAATGTTTCTGCTCTATACGAAGGAGTAAAGAACACTTGCCAAGAAATATTACATCACCTCTATATGATAAATACAGCCCGTCCTATGGAATACTTCCAAGAAATATTACATTCCCACTTTATGATCAGTTATATTAATACAGCCCGCCATATTACCAGAACCCTTGAAACAGGGACCATGCATTTCACAGTTTTTGATGAAGCGTTCTTGCTCATCAAATCTATTCTATCAGTTTATCTTTTTATTAAACAGTTGGACATGAATATGTATTTTGTGTATAATTAATGCATTTTGGGTATGACTAATAAAGCCCACCATAACACAGGAGAGGTCAACATTACCGCTTCATTGCGAAAAATTTCAAATAATAACCGCTACATTTCGGGTGATCATTACCACTACATTTTATCAATAAGACGATGTCTTGCTGATTACAAGACATAATAACTGCCACATATCGAATCAGCCAGAAAAGGCACTGAATATAAGTAATATTTATTCTAACTCATTGAGATTGCAGTACAAAAAGCAAATGGCTCTCAAGGCTCTTCCTATTATGCAAGGACTGTGTGCTATATCCATAAAAATTCTCCATGATAAAACGCTCTAAAATGTTTTATTAAATGGGAAAAAATTAAATAGGATTAATTTTAATGATATATTGAAATAATTCAATTCTGGTTATAACGCTGTATTTGATTGGATAACAAACTTACTTTATATCGTATAAAATGGGTTGCCTACGTCACAATGACTTTCGTCAAAAACGTATCAATCCGCCTGACGTTACATTTAAATTTTGAACAAATTGAAGTCATTTCATCAGAACAATCATCTTTTTTCTTATATCAAATGTATAAAAATTAAATTATAAGCAATGAATTTAACAGCTACCCATTTTATACGGTATAAACTGGGTTGGAACAGTTTACGCTTTTTTATAAACCGCTTCGTGGTTTATAAAGCGTAAACTGCCCCAACCCAGTTTATACCGTATAAAATTGATAGATATGAAATTCATTCCTTAAATAGAAATACCTTAGGGCCTGTTCAATGTCTTACATTCACCTATGGTGAGCAGAGGGAAAAGGTCTTATGCAGATTTTTACAGATCAATTTAAAGTATAATATAATTACATGCATAAGATCTGTTTGGTCTTGTGATCCTTGGGCCTTTTTATGCTTAATATCAAATCATGCCAACAGTTTTACTGTTTATATTTTACTTATAATAAGTAAAGAATAAGTTTTTATGGTTGTGTTTTTTTTTTTAAATAATTAGAGGCCGTAAAATTCCCAATTTTATTCCCTATCACCTATACACTAAGATAATTGATTGATTGATTGTAATTGTTTAACGCCGGATCGGCAATATTTCAGCCATATTTCGGCGGCAATTGAATCAACGGTTCTGCAGAAATTAAATAGGGTCAAAAAGTTAAAAGGAAGAACGAATACTAATAGCTATAGGACACATGAGTGTTTTGCCATTTGTGTTACATTATCTGAACGCTAGGATTTCATCATTTGATCAATGGGAAAAGATTTAAACAATGAAAGGAAATTTGTTTTATGTATATATATTATGTGAACAATATGAATCGTGAACAGGGCAAAATCATTGTTCCCATGAAACACAAGAGGTTGGATCACATGCCGGGGAGCCATGAGCCCTCGCGGTTGATGGATACACAATGATCCATTTTCAAATTTCTTTTCTAAAAATTACCTTTCAATTGGTAGGAAATATGTTGTCAAAACAAGACCATCCTCTTATTTTTTTTTTGCCCCTTGGCCTTGACCTTGGAGATTGGCCTTCTTTTTAAAAAAAAAAATTAACATTACTTTTAAATTTGTCATTCAAGGTTTCCAAACTTTTGAAAGAGGAAAGAGAGGTCTTACATATTATACAGGTAAAAAACTGTTGACAAGGCCTTTCGAAATATACTTTAATTTTTGACCCCTGACCTTGTTCTTGAATTTTCACCTGTATACTTTCAAAATTGTTATCTTTCCTAATAACTTTTGGTTCAGAGTAGATAGGGAT